AACAGTGGGAATTTTAAGAGATTTCATAAGAATTAAAATGCTCCACATGACAATTTATTTTAGCTTCTGGCTTTTCTTTCCAGGAGGCAAATCACTTCAACTTCTTTCTGCATTTGTTTCAATTCAGTAACAAGCCTCAATTTTCAGACAGGCTTAACCAGCTACCCTATCAGAGACCATGAGGTTGCCACCTTTTTAAGAGGTGAGGAGATGGGTGGAAGTAGGTTTTTTTTTTTTTTTTTTAAATAACTGCTAGTAGAGACCAAGTCAATAGCTGATTGCGTGTGAGGGAAGCTGCAGAGGGCAGGTTATTGTAGTACAGATGCTCCCAGACTTATGATGGGGCTACATCTGTATAAACCCATTGTAAGCTGAAAACATCATAAGTCAAAAATGCACTTAATACACCTAACCTGCCGAACGTCATAGCTCAGCCTCGCCTACCTTAAACGCGCACAGAACACTTACATTAGCCTACGGTTCAGCAAAATCATCTGGCAACACAGCTCTCTGCTGCTGCCCAGCATTGCGAGAGAATATCACATGCATATCACTAGCCTGGGAAAAGATCAAAATTCAAAATGTAGTTTCTACTGAATACTTTTATAACTTTCAGACCATCAAAAAACTGAAAAATCAACTTTATGTCAAAAATCATAAGTTGAATCATCATAGGTTAGCACCATCTGTACGAGACCAGCTGTGACTCCAGAAGTGTAAGCCTGCTGTGTTCTTGGGAGATGGGGCAGAGTGGACCACTGTGATCACTGACAACAGGAGCTCAGCATCTGTGAACTCGCACGTCAATATTGCCACTACCCCATTCTTCCAACAGAGAGGAAGAACTTTCCATCCATCCATCCATATCATTTCTAACTGATAAGGACTTTTAAAAACACAACCACAACACCATTAATATAACCAATAAAATCAATATCAATTATAAAATATCTAATACCTAATCCCTGTTCAATTTTCCCTGGTTATCTCAAAATTGTCTTTTATAGATGGTTTGTTCAAATCCCAAACCATATCCACGTACAGTAGCCACACATTGCATTTGCTTAATATGTCTCTTAAGTTTCATTCAATCTATAATAGTTACAAGAGATTCTATGTCTTCATTTATCTTTTTTATTATTAAAAAAAGTATTTATATAGTAACCAAATAGATAATTCTTGTAGGAAAGTAAAAAAATTTTTTTCCAAACAGTACAAAAAGGTACATGGTGAAATGTTCCTCAGTCTCCCTTCCCAGAAATAGTGTTACCAATTTTGTGTGTAGCCTTCTAGAAATAGTCTCTGCCTGGACACACATGGCAGTCCCTGATGCTGCTGTAGCATGGTGGTTAAGAGTGAGAACATCAGTTCAAATCCCTATTCTGCCACTTACTACATATAAATTTTGGACATGATACATAACCTCTGTGCCTCAGTTTTTAATAATAGTACTTACTTCATAGGTTTGTTGAGAGAATTAAATCAGATAAGTGCTTAAA